ACGTCACTCGGGTGTGAATAAGCCCCCTCCCTGAGTGAGGTCACTTACACCGACCTAAGCGCAGGTGGGGACAGCGCTATGGTGGCAGAAGAGCTTCTCCTGCCGCCACCCGCCCCTCGCGGAGGTGGATTTGTTGCGCTGATGGGACAGCTCTCTCTCCCGGCGCCATCGAGCGTCTGCACTACAGCTGCGCTGATGGAGCGTTTCTAGCGTAGACTCGCCCTCCACCGAAGAACCCGGCTGGGCCTGACGTTTCCTGAAGTGTTGGACGTGCTTTAGGGCAGTCGGTTTTTCCTGTTCTTTGGCATGGATGATTCCTTGAGTGAAGTTTTTATTTTATTTTCCTCTTGCTAATCCCATGTCTCTAGTGACCTCAGAGGAAGGACCTCCCTTGAGGCAATCGGGAGAAGCTAGAAGACCAACGAGGCATGGGACCCTTGGTGGAGGAATCCTTCCCCATTGTAACAGGGTGCTCGGTCCCTTTAAGAAGGAGTTTTGAGCCCCCGCACCCCCATTCAGTGGCGTGAGTGTGAAATGAACCACGTACAGAAGGAAGTACACTTTCCTTTAGTTCATCACTGCCACGGTCTGCAGCTTTCTGCCCACCGAAGGACAACAGGCAAATGCTTACACCCGCCTGAGAGCTGGCGTGGGTGAGTTGCTGGACTATGACAGGCGATGGATTAGCCACGCCCCCATGGAAACACAGGCCAGCAACTGGGAACATGAGGCATAGAGATAGTGCAACCCCACCCTGCTCCTGCCCCCCAAAAACCCTCCTCAAGAGAAGGGGGACAAGCAGGGAAGCTATGGCTGAGTGCTAGCTAGCGAACCTTGTGCTACAAGACGTTTTGGTTGTGCTGTACTCTACCATAACCTTGGCTGTGTCCTCTTGTCTCTTCCCCCAGGGAAGGATGAGCATTCAATTTAATCTACCCTATGTGGGCTGCTGCACCGGTTTTCTCCATTGAGTCAACCTAGGTGGTTGGTTCTGAGACAACCAGGAACAAGAAATGCTGGGGTGGACCTAATCTCGAGGTACTCACTGTATTACTTTCCCCTTTGCATGGATGGATTCAGATTCTCTTGCAGAATTAGTGCTGTAGCTTTATACCAAGGTAAAAATGTTGTGTTCTCTGTTTTACATAAGGTAGAAATGCTGAGGCAACTTGAAATGCACTAGCTGTATGATTCACCTCTACCAGAAAATCAGCTGCAGAACTGAGAGAACAACAGGGTATCCACTAATTATCTTCCTCAGTCAATACAGGCTGGGCATTTGCAGAAGAGCACCATAATCCAGTTTGGGTTTCTTCAACTCTTTCTTTTAAACAGCATGTAGCTTGGAATTGCTGATGCACAGACCTGATCTCTTCATTAAAACGCTCTGTGTGATCAGCTGTGAAATCCCGCAGTGCTGCTATGGAAACAAACTGCCACAACACAGGCATTCGGAGTGGCTGATGTAGGACTTAAAACCAGCCATCAGAGAAATTGACAAAGTTCAGCCTCCTGGGTTCTAGGATGCTAGAAGCGACTGATGTTTAGGTTCAGAAAGCATCCCACTACCACGCCTCTAGGCGCCTCAACAGAGAGATTCGAATTATTTACACGGTTTACTGATGCCTTCACGCAAGGATGCATCGGTTTACAAATCTCTCCGGGATACAAGAATGTGTGTGTTTGTGATACAGCAACTTATGAAGCATAACAGGACCAACGGGATAAAACTGTCATGTCTGAGCTTTACAGCTACCAGGTCTACAAAGAATGACTGGGCAAAAGAATAATTACAATGAAACACACCCTTCAAGTAGCCCTTGTTTATTTCCATGGCCGTAATGGCTAAGGATCTCCAGCAGGGACAGAGGCCTTTAATACTAGCAGGGACAGAATACTTTAGAGGGCCTGATCGTGGGAGGTGCTGAGTACCCTTTACTCCCAGGCAGCTGAATGCTCAGAACCTCGCAGGGTTGGGCCCACACCACATAAAGCAAACGAACCTCTATGAGCAAACAAAACGGTTAATGGAATAAGTCATTCTCCTCTTCCAGTGGGGAGACACCCAACCGTTGTGGATTAATATGGGACAACTGTGCTGGAAAAGGCCTGGCTAGGGAAGTATGTCCATGTGCGAGCCACTAAAATAACAATGAAAAAAAACAATGGGCGGGCAGGCACAGTCCGGCGGGCAGGCAATTGGCAAGTCCCAGCAGGCAGACTGGGGCAGGAGGATTCAGCTGAGCGGGTGTAGTCTCCATGCAATGTCAGAAAGCCCCCAGCTATTCCCCGGACCTCTCCACTCTCCCGGGGACCGACACCCTCCTCCCCCTTCCTCTGGCCCTTCTGTCGGCTTCCTGGCTCATTCCCCATCACCTTGAAACTCCCGGGCCCTTTTCCGAGTCTGGCACAGCACTGTCTCCAGCCCACTGTCCTGGCCCCATTACCACCCCTCCCGTCCTGCAGCGTGACGTCCAGCGAGCTCCTGCTTCACAACCAGTCAGTCACTCATAGTGCGATGTGCTTAGAGGCTCCCCTTGCGCTAGGCGCTGTACAAACCTACCATCGCTGCCCCACAGAACTTACAATTGGACCGAGCTAGGAGGATCTGTCTAGGGCCGGATCCTCAGCTGGAGTAAAGGGAGAACAGCTCCATTGAAGTCAATGGGGCTATGACCAGAGTCTAGACCTAATCACCCATTACACCCGCCACACCCGTTCATTGTGCTCGCCTGTTTCAGCCCCGCCTGGAGCTCTCCTCCACCCTGTTCCTTCATGCTGCTCCCTGTCTGTGGGAAAGCTCCAGCAGGCCAAGCAACCTCACTCCCTCTTCAATTCCTCCAGCTGCAACTTGCCCTCCTTGGCCTTTAATGCAGCTCGAACTGCAGCAGAATAATTCAGAGTCCTAAACAAGTCAATCTGGGACCCAGGGAGCCCAATTTAAGCTTGTGGGCCCAGATCCTCACAGGAATTTCGGCCCCCAACTCCCATTGAAATCAATTCGGTGCCTAAATACCTGTGAGGATCTGGTCCTCAGTCACTTTGAGGGCATCTTCCCGCCCCCCAATTAGATCAGAAGCACGTTGGCACAGGCCCCCCTCTCTGTATATGGGTGAGAAGTGCCAGGCACCTGTTTCAATCATCCACATTCTGTAATAATTAATGCCAGGAGCTCAGTGCCCACACTGCCAGGGCGGAGCTCTTCACCCAGCTCGGCCCTTCGTCACTGCTCTCCATTTCCACGCTACGTCTCTTCTCCACCTCTTCTCTCTTGTTCCTCCTGTCCATTCCGAAGTCTGGTGTCCCTCACTCCTTGCTCACCCTCCCTTCCGTCCTCTCCTCTTCTGCTTCGCAGCCTGGTCTCTCTGTCCCCTTTCCCTTCTCTTCTGTTGCCCTCCTTTCATTACTCCCCCAGCATCACTCTCCTCCTGGGGTGGTGTATGCCCATTCCATCTCCTTCTCTAGTCCTCCCTCTAGGGTCCCCTGATCTTCACCTTTCTCTCCCCACTTCCTCCTTCCCTCCATTGACTGCCAAGATCTCCAGTATCTCCCCCCCGCCCCAACGTATTCATAGAACCTTTTCCCTCTGCCCCTTTAGTGACCCCATTTGGGTTTCCACATAGGAGGGGTCGCCAGTGGCACATGGTTGGACAAACACCTGTCAGGGAAGGTCTAGGTGTACTTGGCCCCGCCTCAGCGCAGGGGGCTGGACTAGATGACCTCTCCAGGTCCCCTCCAGTCTGACATTTCTATGAGTCTATGCTGCTTAAACCTACTGTGTTGCCTCTCTCAGCCCTCCTCCCCCATTTGCAAACAGCCCAAGTGCAGAATGGGGGGGGGGCACTCTGATGGGAGGCGTGGCCAGGCAGAAGTGGCCCATCCCTATGGCACTCCCTTGCAGCTCAGGCTGCAGCTTTGGGTACAAGACCTGTTCTTTCTGGTAGTGTAGTTCCATGCCAAGTGCCCTCTTGAGGCAGAAACCTGGGCCCAGCAGCTTCACCCAGGCCGAGTGGCTTAGCTTGGGCCGGGAAGGGAAACTATCCCAGTGGCTGGGCTGGCAAGCAGAGTCAGCACACTACTGCCAGGATGGAATAACCGAGCTTTCCACCTTAGCTCTGCCGTTGGCCTTTCCCCATGGTAGAGCCCGGGGCTGGGCTGGCACACACAAACACGCAGGCCCGGCTCTCCGGTGGCTTGTGAAACAATGACCTCCACAAAGCTGCGGCTGCACGGCTTGGGAGATGGGGAAGAGCAGGAAGCGGAGAAACCACTGGGGAGATGACTAAGCCTTGCAACAGGGCCCCGGTAGCTGCTACTGCTGGGTAGAGATACGGGAAACCAACATGCAGCCGGCCCCGTTCCACCCGCTCAACCCAATGCTGAGCTGTAGGAAGTGGGTTTAACACATTTCATCCGACAAAGCCCTAAATGGCCAGGGACTGAGTTGTCTGAAAGGCACCTCTTTCCCTGTGCTCAGGGATGACCAGCAGGGCCACCCAAGCTGAATTCCCACTGGAGAGCAGCTGAAGGATGTATTCCACAAGGGGCCCCCAACTCTGGAACTCACCAGCTCCCTGATCAGCAAGGGACCCCAGCACACGGAGTCCTGGGCCATGACTCTCTTTGGTGCTACAGTAATACAAATAATAGATAGTAATCACTGACCTTCAGAGTGCCCAGCAAGCCCTGGCTGTCAGGGATAGAGGATCCCGGTGGGACAGGTCTGAACGAAGTGTCTGGCTGCCGGGTTATTCAATATGTTAATTACCGGTTGAAAGGGGCCGGGTTAGTTAGAGGCATGGTCTATTTTTACAAGCTTATTTTCCGACGTGTCAAGGAGCGTTTAGCGCAAGGGAGACGAGCCCTGCTCCTCTTTATGAAATGAGTGCACCAATCACGGCAATTTAGACAGGCAGGCCAAGGGGGGGAAACGAACAGTGAGCGCAGAGATAAAGAGAAGGAGATTGAAGCAAATACCAGAGAGTTTGAGCAGCAACTACCTTTCTTGGACACTTTCCTCCCTTCCTTAACTGAGCTGTTTTTTTTAGTGGCTCTACGGGTGCTGGCAGGTTGCGGCGCACAGGTCAGACGCACAGGAAGTCCAGTGGCTGACATCAGCATAGCCGTCATGCCTACAGGGGACACGAGGTCAACATGCAGGAAGGAAACAATGCGGAAATAAATTTATTTAAAGGGGGGAAAAAAAAAAGGAATAAATTTTTCAAAGAAAATAAAAAAAACCTTGATTCAAAGAACACAAAGTATTTGTAAAGCAAATAAATGGGAAAGGTGATTCAGTTTGATTTCAGTGCAAGGACAGGAACTGGAGACTCCAGAGGAGGAACGGCTTGGATGGCAAATTAAAGCGGAGGAATATGTTCATGAATCTGATAAATGCTACCTGAAGCCGCTGCTTTAACAGAAGGCCTGTCTTCACCTCGGACTTGAAGCCTATGGATTAGCATAGACGTAGGACTCCGCTAGTTAGATGGTAAGTGCCTCTAAGGCTCAGCTCTGCAAGGTGGGGAGTACTTTTGACTCCACATTAAGACGTTCAGCACTTTCCAAATCTGTTCCTTAGGCCTGGTCCACACTAACCCCCCACTTCGAACTAAGATACGCAACTTCAGCTACGTTAATAACATTAGCTGAAGTCGAAGTACCTTAGTTCGAACTTACTGCGGGTCCAGACACGGCAGGCAGGCTCCCCCGTCGACTCCGCGTACTCCTCTCGCGGAGCAGGAGTACCGGCGTCGACGGCGAGCACTTCCGGGATCGATTTATCGCGTCTAGACAAGACGCGATAAATCGATCCCAGAAGATCGATTGCTTACCGCCGGACCCGGAGGTAAGTATAGACGTACCCTTAGATTGTAAACTCCTTGGGGCTGAGACTGAGGGCCCTGCTTTCATTTATGCTGGTGTAAACCTGGAGTGGCTCAACTGGTTTCAATGGAGTTACACTGGATTCACACCAGTGCAACAGCAGAATTGGGCTCACTCTCATGTTCTAGGCCTCATACAGCCCGGGACACGTCGTCTGCACATTGACCCCGATTCATTAAAACACTTAAGCACATGCTTAGCTTCAAGCATTACGGCACCCCATTGACTTCAGCCGGATCTCTTCGGGGCTTTGCTAATCAAAGCCACAGGAAAGCACTGTCCTACGACGGATTTGTTGAATTCGGTTAATTATTCCTCTTAAAAGGACACCTGTTCCCTAAAGGGAAATTGGCACAGACAGAACTTCAGGGTTGACTCTATTGATCTAATGCTGCAACATTCACTACTGAAATACAGGCCAGTTGCAATCCTGTAATGCAATCTAATGTAATAAAACTGCCCGAATGCGGATATATTCAAGGAACCGCCTGCCTGCCTCACTCCCCAACAGAAGAGTATTCTACCCTGACAGACACCAGGATATTTAGAAAATCCCTTTTAAATGCAGCTCTTGACAGTGGTCAACATTTAGCAAGAGTTACCCACCAGGGTAGTACATGAGATGTAGCGATGTGTATTTCCCTATTAGGGTTTCCCCTACATGGGGAGTGTTGGTAACCAATGGCTTATAACTCTGTTAGCTGATATTTTAAGTATTTTGTTTTTCAAACCCTTGTTCGGTTGGGGAAGGAAAGGCAGCATAAAAGATGCACAAAATGAAATCATTCTTTAACTAGTACAATAAAATATCAGATACATGCACACGAGCTATAAGCAACTGAAAACAGGGTATTAGCATGGGACCTCTCAAGAAACCTTAAGTACAGGGGGACACTATCAGCTCGGCCTAAAATATAAAACTCACTAAGAGCATCTATGGACTTTGCAGAGTCAAACACCCCTGTGCAAGGTCAGGGCGAAATGCTGTCCAATAAGAATTCTCCACTCACACCAAGGACCGCATTCTGTACACACTTTACAACACCTTACAGTAACTCCTAGGGTTCCTTCTTATACAGCTACGGACAGCCCCTGACTAAGACCTGACAACCTTAGGGTCTGATCCAAAGCCCATGGAAGGTGGGAGACAGGAAAGATTAATAGCCCCTTTTACAGATGGGGAAGTGGGGCACAGAGATTAAGTGACTTGCCCAAGGTCACCTGCAACACCTATGGCAGAGCTGGGAATTAAACTGAGATCTCCCAAGCCACAGTCCATCATCTTAACAACAAGATCATCCTTCCTCTCTAACAAGTGACTACCAGAGGTGCAAGGCAGTGAAGAACTGGGCCTGATATTTGTATCCTTTCTACAGCATTGCAAAAGCTATCACAAATTGTTACTCTGACAGGCAAGTATTATGGTGATGGGCATTTTAGAACTGCATGTCAGACTAAAACAGAGATGATTTCAAAGGCAACCCCTTTGAAATGGAAGATTGAAGGGGGGAAAATGAGAGAAAAATAAAGGGAAGAGGAAAAAAGGATAGAAGAGAAGAGAGAGAAGGGAGAGGATTGTAGGAGATGAATGAAGTTCTATCGAAGAGATCTAGACACAGAGTACATGGATAAACTACAAGCCACACTCCAACAGACATGAAAGATCATTTTTAACGAAATCTCTGAGGAATGTCAATCTCTGGGTTTCCTTTCACATCACTCCTGCTTACCAAGAGACATGAGAAAACGGAAGCTCTCTGCTTTCTCACCAGCTAAGGGCCTCTGCCACACACCGTGCTGGAGGCCAGCACTCCGGATCTCCAAACAGCTTCCACCATGGTGGACTGTGACACCACAACACACACGCACTCCTTACGCAGCAGCCGTGGGACAGGAAATGCAGAGAGTCCCCAGCAGCTGTGGGATGTTGACAAAGGGAGAGACTCTTGATTTTTAGTGGGTGAAAACATTAAGCTATTAACCTATTGTCTTGGTAACGATACCAGAGCTAGGTTCTCAGCGGTTAGAAATCAATGTAACAGTCACAGCTATGTCAGTTTACATAAAGCTAAGAATCAGGCCCATAAGCTCACCAATGAAAAATGCCAGTCAGAACCGAGTTTCTTTTTAATCCTGGACTAAAAACCTGGTTCCTGCAAGACTGCTGTGAACCTTTGATTTCAAGTGCAAGCTGAGGGTACTCCTCAATTTCCAGGAAGCACCGAGCGGGACTAGACCTGAAATCCTTTTGCAACATCTTAAGCATTTCCGCAGCAATAGGACACGGCCTTCTTTTCGTTAATGGCGAATATGTGGATCATTTTTATTCCAGCCTCCTTAACCTCAGCCATTGCAACCACGCTGTTACTGACTGGCTGCACATACGTTCCACAGGCCACTTTTCATTGGCTGAAGGGCGAACAAATTCATCCTTCGCACTGGTGGGTACGGACCCGCTGAGCTTGGAGTCAGAACACCATTCAATTTGCTTTACCGCGTTTATTAAGGATTTTGGCTACAAAAACTAAAGTGTTTTGTGCCTCTCTAGACTGTCAAAATGGTACTAAGGCAGGAAGATTCACAAATCCACACTGGCGTATTAGCCCTAGGAATAATACACTTTCGTATTCAGAAGGAGACAAGATATTTTGTTCTCTGTAGTACCAAGGCATCTACTGGTTACATTTTCGAACAAGCCCTTCGCACCGTCTCCCATGCTGCCCCTGGCTCTTGGGAGGAGCTCCCTGTAAAGGTCTGCAAAGCTACCTCATTAGCCTCCTTCAAATCCCTCCTCAAAACTCCCCTTTGCCATGAAGCCTACACTTGACAACCGTTGGAGTGCTGGTGTGCTGAGTCCACTGCCTGTCACCAAGAGCGCTTCATTGCTTCCCTGCACATCCCTATTGTCTGAATCCATTTGCCTCTCGTCATATTTAGATTGTAAGCTCTTTGGGGCAGGGACTATCTTTTTGTTCTGTGTTCGTACAGCTCCTAGCGCAATGGGATCCTGATCCATAACTAGGGTCCTAGGTGCTATGGTAATTATACTAGCTCTCAATACAGAGCTTTTCATCTGTAGATCTCAGAGCACTTTATAAAGGAGATCAGTGTCATTATCCCCATTTTACAGATGGCGAAACTGAGGCAAGGTGTGGGGAAATGACTTGTCCAGGGCTACTCTGCAGGCCAGTGGCAGAGCCAGGAATAGAACCCAGGTCTTTTGAGCCCTAGTCCAGTGTTCTAGCCACTAGGCAAAATTGCTTCTGATAAATAATAAATCAGCCTACAAGTTTCTGATCAGGCAGGGATGTAAACACCGTTCTTCCGCTTGCCACAGAAGGAGAAATGATAAAGCTCCTCTTAACTGGGCAATTTGATTATGTTAATCAGCTAAAGTTTGTAAGGAACTTTGAACAAAGTGCTACACAGGATCATCTTCAAATGTACACAACTGATACGTAACTAAGAAGTGAATTAATGATCTAAGCTTAACTGCTCTAGAGAAGATCACGGAAATATTGTGCGTATGCCATTAGAAAGCACAGGAGCTGCAGAACTGAGCATCTGAAAAAACGGAGTTAACAGATTTTTACGGCCACAAGGGACCATTAGGATAATCTAGTCTGACCTCCTGTAGAAACCAGGCCATAGAATATCTCAGTTTCATTAGTTAATCTTTACCAGTGCAATATCGATCCCAGTGTGCATCTGGGACAATACACTAACAACGCATATTAGAGGTGATGAATCATCATAAATAAAATAGAAATGTATGACATGAACTTTATACCCACACAGCACGTCTGGAGGTGAAACCATATCTACTATTCAACATAGACAGCGATGATCACATGACAACACGAGCGATTCCTCCTCGGAGCATCTATAATGAAGGCAGGAAGATGAACTATGGGGCTGTCCTTCTCCTCTACTGTCTGTTGTCTTTGGGGAAGACACGTGGAAGAGGAATCAAACGCAGCACGAACTGAAGTGCGCAACAGTGACAAAGCACATCCTTCCTGAAACCAAGGAATCACTGAGCAAGGGGCCAGTCACTTGGTGCACCACTGTCTGGGCTCACTCACATTTGAATCATTTGCGTAGCCAGCAGCTGTTTTTCCCTTAAGCTTCTAATGTAACACAGGAAATCTCAGCACTCAGCAATCAACCCTTGTGGAGCCTGACGGTAAAAATGACTTGTGATGCTTCCTTATGCAGATAAGCCGGCTTTGCTGTTGAAACTGTGGCTTATCATGCTTGACTCCTCTTCAGCACCCGGAAATCACTGGGTACGTCCACACTGCAATCAGAGGTGTGACTGCAGGTTGAGTAGACAAACCCACGCTAGCTTAAATTTAGCTTGCACAGCTCAAAATAGCAGGGAAGCAGCAGCAGCCCAGACTGTACCAACCCACCTGGAACCCAGGGTACGTAACCACGTTCCTAGCTCAAGTCCATGCCGCGGTGGGCTCCTGCCTATTTTTAGCTGTGCTGGGCGGATTAAAGCGAGCGCAAGTACGCCTACCCGAGCAGCCCTCTGATTGCAACACCGGTCAACCCAGTGCATTAACTCTGTCTCATCACTGGGGCTCTTGGCATCAATTTAACAAGACGAGGGAGCCAATTACGTTTGTATCCATTAATGACAAGTATTTATAGGCATGTGCTCAGCACCTTAGAACCAGGGCACATATTACAAGGCTCAAAGAAGATATTTCTGACTCTTTCTATGACCACGATGATCTACGTGGGGATGAAACAGAAGAAACAGCACAAAAGGATGTCTCGTGATTTAAACTACGTCTTCCTTAAAGTTGGCTAGTGAGTGGCAAGAGCTTTTTAAGGAATGCAGATTTCCCACTGCAGGAGAGCGACAAATGAGGACTAAGCTTTTGTCTAGGGACAGGACGGGTTTGTATTTTCAGAGCTACGTAGCGGGTTAGCCATGCAACACATACAGCACTGCAGCGGAACCAATGCATGTACTCCCCCGCCCGGAGAGGGAGTGGCTATGTCCCAACATAGACTCTGTAGCTTAGCCCAACCCTTAGGGTACGTCCAGACTACCCGCCGTATTGGTGGGTAGCGATCGATTTATCGGGGATCGATATATCGCGTCTCATTAAGACGCGATATATCGATCCCCGAACATGCTCCCCGTCGACTCCGGAACTCCACCAGAGCGAGCGGCGATAGCGGAGTCGACGGGGGAGCCACGGCCGTCGATCCCGCGCCGTGAGGACCCAAGGTAAGTCGATTTAAGATACTTCGACTTCAGCTACGCTATTCACGTAGCTGAAGTTGCGTATCTTAGATCGATCCCCCCCCAGTGTAGACCAGCCCAAAGTGTCAGAGCCAAACTGACATAACTCCACTGACTCCAGCAGAGAATTTGGCTGCTGTTATTGGATCTGTGTTGGAATTTGAAAATCTACCTCCAGTGCAGTGCAGATCTTAGCATGTTGTTTGTGCATACAAACTACACGAGTGTTGTAAGCCAAGTTAGTCTTACTCTGGCAATGGTCACAGCAATCAAGGATCTAACTGGTCTCCCATTCAAAGAAATTCTTACTGTTCTGTGCTGTGCAAGGACTGAGGATGGGGAGCACCCATAAATAAAATGGAGTGTGGCAGGGTGTGTGCATACAGGCTGGATACGCGAGCAAGCTATAACACGTCATTTTGTCCGGCTGCCAGTTTTTGTTCAAATGTACTTTAGAGTTAAGACTTGCACGGGGACCAGAACTTTCCTTTGAATAACAATGGAGATCCTATGCAGTATTGCCAACTCTCACAATGTTAGACTGATATTGATCTTGTGATATTGAGGGTTTTTTTTTTCAAAGCCCCAGCCCCTGGAATCATGTGAATACATGAGACTCTCAGCTTGCATTTTAAAAAAAGATAACTCCTGACCTCCATGGTTATGGGGATTTAAAGTTGGAAACCAGGGGCCATGTGCACCTTGACGTATCAAAAACCAGAAGGTAAATACAAAGACCCCCAAAGTGTACTTTTAGTTACAAGGCCCGTTTCAAACATGTTGAGGAGCATCTCTGACTGGTAGCCAAAGCTCCTGAGACACCAGTCCATTCGTCCCAGAATAGAACTAGTTTCCTAATGAATGGACAAAACGAGAGAGAATCCAGCACAGCAATAGATTTATTACTCTACAGCTTAGTTTTGTGCCTGTTTGTTTCCCCCAGAAGGGCCTCTCTCTGCACAGCCAATGATGAGCAGACTATTAAGATTGGTGGTATAGACCACCACTGAACTGCCTCGGTGAGGTTCTCACATGGCTCTATGGAGCTCCAGTGACCCGCACAGCCCTTCCCGCTGATCCACAGAACAAAATAGTTTGAGAACTGTGCAGTGGAGCTCAGAAGGTGTCCAAGGAGGGGATCTTTGCCTTATTAAGTCATCTGAAGCATGAAAAGTTGGGGAATCAAGATCAACAGAGGCTTTTCAAGTTTCCAAAGAGAGGTCCTGAAGTTACCAAAGACACAGTAGCCAAATAAGATGGGAAAGAGAGGTCACCAATTAAAGGCTGTGCCAAGTAAAGCCTTGATGAAATTCAGTATTCTTGTCCCCAAAACTCCACTGCCTGCTGTTCTTCATAGATGTTCCCGGGCATTTCCTTTCCTTACACAGACTAGTTAAGCTACCCACACCTTTCCTCTGTGACTTCTTTTACAGTCACGTTCGAATATAGATTTTCTGCTGAAAAAGAAAAATTGTGTCCTGTTGTAGCTCCCTCAGACCTTTTAAAGGCTGCTACCCTGAACAAAAGGCAACATGGTGCTTCCGTTAAAGATGACCACCCTCCGCTCCAGTCAAAGGCAGGCCCTGTAAAGATTCAGATCTAAACAAGAAGAGCGTTTGCCTTTTAGAAGCTAGCATTTGCCCATCGATCACGCCCTAGTCTGAGCATTTCTGGACTCCAGTCGTGCAGAGTGCATCTTGTCAGCTGGTTTACATATGATCTCACAGACCTTGGCCTCATTTTTAAACTAAAGAGATTTAAAAAGTTTTTAAATTCTCGTTCCTGCATCCCCTGCCTCCAACAAGAGTAGAAGAATTGATTGCAAAAGTGACTTTTTAAACCCGGGGGTGGTAAAAGGCTGGTGGTATTGACTGGTTACCTCCTGGAGTTCCTCTATATTAAAGCATGCCATCAGATGAACAATTTGATCAAGTCCAATTGCCTCTTCCAAACTGAGACTGGATGACCCGTATATGGAACATACCAGCAGCCGGTTATAAATATAGCTCCGATTCAGATTGGTTGAATCTAGACCGATATGGTTAACCCAGGCGTTTCCTTTGTAACGGTGCCTATAGAATGGGTCCATTTGACATGTCACTGCATATAGTAATGAGCCAAATTCAGAGCATGTATAAAAGGTGAAACGCCACTGAGGTCAGCCACTCACACCAGGTCTGAGTCTGGCCCAATGGCTCATGTCCATTAAGTAGGTTTGAGAATTTTTAGCAGAGGGAGGGATCGGATTGGCTGAACATTTCGAGGATTTCCAATATGTAATTGCTACGACTAATTGGACAGCACCAATCGTGCACTAGGCGCTTTCTAGATGTACAAGACAAGGACACGACTGCAAACATGCCCCCAGTGCTGGAGGACGGACACACCCAGGTTGTGGAGTATTCACCTCGGTACGCTGCAGAAGAGCTTACAGTCCAAACAGACAGAATACAAAGGATGGGAGTCGGGGAGAGGAACGGAGGATGTTCTGTTATGTCTCAAAGATGTCCTGCCATGCAAGGGCAATATTGGACAACACCATATGGGCCTTGTGGCCGTTCTGTCCCGGGACAGTGACACGGTATTGTGCTACTATTAAAGTGCATGGACTGCATTAGTATGCAGAAGACATCATGTGATCAGCAGAGCATCCAGTTTCAGAAGATGCCACCAAACTAGAATCCCAGTTGCTGTGCACTAGCTGAATTAAGAGATGGCAAACATACCGGCAAGCTTCCCACCCTCTGGGACACGGACTAGCAGTTACATTGCAAACCACACGGGTGTGGGATCATTATCCAGACAATGCCATAGAGTCGCAAGGTGCAATTCTACTCTGAAAAGCAACTATGTACAAATGGATTCCTCCTTCCCTAACAGATTGGCTCCCTGGGAGTATTCAGAGTCAGAGCTGCAGACTTCAACGGCAAACGTAAGCTCCTCCTACGTACTCCCGCAGTTACAGGAGAACTCATGCTTCATCCACAGAATTGCTAACCAAGTTCCAAATGCTTGACTCCACCCCCTAGGCTACGGTGCCTGCCTTCCCCTCTCTGTCGGCCTTTGCCCTTATAGGCAACAAGTCTACACACTGTGGCACTGTAGAAAGACAAGGGTGGGACCGTTCCCACCCTATTACCAAAGCAAGGACAGCAATACAAAACCAAGTAGGTACTTACCGCAATGTGGTTGAGAAAAGCCAACCAGCTGCTGGTGTGTGCACTTTCTATACATTTTCAAACACACTAGCTTTATTCTCTATCCCGCGCCGGGCCCTGTCTACATGACAGGACACTCTAGATTCTTATCAGAGGCTACATGAGGAAGCAAGTTACAAAGGAAAGGAAAAAACCTAGGGAGAAAACAAGTAATCAAGGAGGAGTCATTACCTGCCAAAGCTTGGTTCACTTTACTGGGCTTGGGCATCTCGACCGGCAGATTTGGGACACTGGGGAGAAAAAACAACAACAAAACAAAATGTTTAACATCACCGCACGGATGACAGACAAGATGGGGCAATTCAGCGGCACGTGGCAGTCTGTCCAACGGCCACTGAGAGTACTGTGCTTGTGTTCGTTACATTTTCCCATCATACCTAGCCAAGTCAATCACTGCAGAATTAGGTCTCGAGTACATACCAAAGTACATACCAAAGATACAGCAAAGGCAGAAAGGCATTAGACTTTCCAGGTGACTTGCTGCACTGGTTGTTGATGCTAGTGAAAATAAAAGCAATCTCACTGCATAACACCACCACCACCACCTCTCATATAGTGACTTGCAGCCGTAGATCTCAAAGCACTTTGTAATGGAGATGAGCCCCACTTTACAGATGGGGGAAAATGAAACACAGGGAGGTGAAAGTCGCAGCAGAAGTCTGGTGGGAATCCCAGTCCAAGCGCCCTATCCACTGGACCGCACTGGGACATGGGAATGGGAACGCAATGGGAGGCCTGAGACACCTAAAGGAGTGAGGTGTCCAATTTCCCTTGAGTCTGACCACCCCGCTTGGAAATCCCAGCCTAGCTTCTTTAGGAATTTGGTGGGGGAGGGGGGGTTCCAGTGGCCTGCAAGGGGATGGAATTTCAAACCAAGGTGAATTTGGAATACCTGGGCATGGGCCGCAGAAGCGTGTTCTGCCGACAACAACGATTAGTAAGGAGAGGGAGGGCAGCAGATTGAAAACACACCGAGACAAGAGGTCACAGCAGGAGGAAGAGGGTCCGGGTTATGTGGAGCGGGGAAAGGAGACCAAGGGCTTGTCTACAAGGACAGCAAGCCAGGGTGTGAATCTACAGCACGCTAGCTGGCCACGTAGTCACGTCCGTGTGAACCCTGCTATAGCACTGTAGATTCACACCCTGGCTTGCTGCGTAGTAGCATCCCATGTAGACAAGGCCCGTATAAATGGAAAGGGAACATCCAACTCTGATGTTTCAGGTACTGGGGTTGTGAGACCACTTCAGTCTAGGATGGAGCATTAGCCAAGGAGGATAGGCAGCCATGCTCTGCATCAGTGAGATAGTCAGTCAATCCCAATTCACTCAATGTAAGATAGGAATAATCATGTTTTACACTTACCCAGTGCCTGTCACCTCAAAAGAACCTGATAGGGCATCACAAACTATACACATACAAGACTACTGAAATGCAGCCATCTCTGGGGTGGAGGGAAGAAAGCAACAGGCACAAACACACAGCACAATGGAGGGGAGGGGCAATTTTGCACAGGCTATTAGAGCAAGAGAAGCGGCAGCACCACTTTTACAAAAAGCAAAGGCCATGGGGTCTTTGGGCTCAGATTATTAAAGTGGTCTATAGGCTCTGGGACGGACGGACCGATCCCTCCCCCCCCACAGGCCAAGAGAAGCTTCTGTTTCTAGGCCAAAAGAAATGCGATGGACCGGCATTAAAAATCAGATTCCAAATATTGCACAAAGCAGGTTCTCTATTAAATAACTTTCAAAACCCACTTTCCTGTTTTCTCCCCCCATTGCTCCTCCTCCCTTACATGCCTTGAGACGTAACCACTGTAACTCAAACAGAGGTTATGGGCTCGAGGCAGGAATCCACGGGCTGAGGTGCTATAGCTGGTGTTTTGCGGGCAGTCAGAGGAGAGGATTATAATGGTTTCTTCTGGCCCTACAAATCTGCATCATGGTGGTTTTCCCATCCGGCTATTTCAGGGGCTGGGTTTTCCCCCTCACACTAAGCTGTCCGGAAAGTCGCAATCTTTTCAAGTGACACATCACTTCGCTGCTCTCGCTAAGGGCGTGATCCAAAGCCCACCCAAGTCCCTGGAAAGGCCCCAAGGGATTGCCAAGGGCTTGGATTAGACCCTAAAATCCATTTCATTCTTCACAATATTTCTCTTCTGATTTGGCCTCTTCCCAGCAGTTCTCTTCTTGGTGTTTTTTTCCTCCCTTTCCTCTCTAGCCCGATCTCTTCCCACGCCTCATTTCTACCCTCCACCTCCACCCTCCTCGGTCACCTCTCAGGAGCAAAGCCACAGCGTGAATGCGTCTTGCCCTCCAAACGCGGACAATGAATGTTTTTTGAGGCTCAATGAGCGAAGGCGAATTTGAGGATCGCTCTACCAACGTCAATGAGCTGACAACCCTGAACCAAAACGGCTCGCCTCCTCCCTCCCGAACACCGCACAGGACAGAGGGACGTCCCACCCGGAAGAGCTGTTCTCTCAAGTTCTAAGCTTTGGGTCCGTGATCCTATCACGTGACTGCCCGCTCCACCGCACCTCCATGTCATCACACACACACCCCTAGCCTGGTTCATCCCCCGTGCTGAGTGGAGAGTTGCAGACTCTAGTGTTATCACTTCCCTTTTTTTCCTTCTTGTGGATGGCAGAAAAGATTAAAGAATGCAACCAAATCCTGGGCTCAGCAGGGAAGGTGGGTGGATAAGTGAGGCTTTTACAAGGTGCGTCTCCAGAGAATGACACAAGAACGGCATAGGTCTCCTCCCCGTTTGCAAGAGTACTAAAAAGCTCCAGAGAGGCCTCTACAGAGGAGAGAGAGCAGCAGAGGTGCCTCATCTGTAATTCAATGATGGTAACAACACTGGAAGCTCAAGAGTAGCAGGGTTCAGGTGTTTTTACCATCCTGCACTCGTGGGCACTGGCGGTGAACTGCACGCCCCATTTTTGCCAGCTAAGGAAAGATCAAGTAATGCAGATACCAGGCATCCACTAAGTACTTGTACGCCCGCATCGCCGGAGTAGCTGAACTGGCGAAAGCACCACTGCCCCCTGCAAAGCAGAAGCAAAATCCCTCAAGTGGAACAAACATATCGAGGTTTCCTGTCACTGCTACAGTACATAGAAGGGTGGAACATTGGGTAATCTGGGCTCAAAACGTGTGCTGGACGCCCACCAGGGCAAGCCAGGAGCCTAGACAAACCAGGCTTTGTGAGAGTAGGCAGGGACGTTTCTCGTACTGCTCAACCACTGCAGGAGTCAGGGCCCTCGGGAAACGACAAGTGGCCTTGGGATTTCACCGCGGGAAGAACACAATCTCCTGTGCCTAGTACGTATTTTTTCGTTAGGGTCACAGACCCAGGCCTGGTGAAATGGAGGGAAGTGATGGGTTCCTCTTGCTGGGGAGACTCCTCACCATATGGTTTTGCGGGTATATTCAAAGCCACAGTACTGGGTATAAAGTTTTGTTATGCCAATGAGTCACTCACCAAAGATGGACCCTAGATCTGCGAACCACAGGGCAGGCCAGCGGACCAAGCTGCCAGGGTGCAGTGAAATGAATTGGGAGCAGTGTGTCATTCGGCTACACAAGATGTTAAGGAGTTGGGCAAAGGGGAGCGGGATAGATCTGCCCGGAGCAGAGCCTGAGACGCCTGCCGTTGCTACAGCAGAAGTAATATTTTGGGGGGCAGAAAAGGCCCCTCAAAGACTCCTCTCATCTGCTGATATAGTCAAGCCCACGGAGCAGTATTTCCCTCGGTCCATGTCTCCGACAGATGCCCGCTCACCGATACGTCTCCCCAGACACTTGTCTGAAGCTGCACGAGAAAGAGAGGCCTTGGCGTGAGATTACTCATGGTTACGTCAGCAGCATCTTTGTTTTAAGAGCCCTTATGTTAAAGCCTCTCTCTCTACCCTGGCACGGGAAGAGCTGACTGGGTTTGACCCAAACTAAGTAGTTCTGAACGAGTAAAGCACCTGCCATACATACATGCTCAAAGAGAAAAAGGCAGACATGACAACACTGCTTCTCCTTCCTTGCAGGGACAGAGGCACCGGGAAGAAATCAGATGGTCTTTGACATCCATTTCTAAATAGAAAGGTCTGCAGTTGCCTGTTTAGGACAGAGTGGATTTTACTCCCATGACACCAGAGTGGAAAGGACTCTGGGCAAAAGGCTACATGCAAAAGTTGGGCAACTCCCACTAACACGCCTAAAGCTCAGGGTTTGTATCACCCCCTATCCAGCCAAAGTACCGCAGCCCCCATCACCACAGCAGCTGAGCCTCTCCCGGTCTTTAACGCAGCAATCCTCATAGTATCCCTGGGAAACAGGGCACGTTCCCAGGGAGGGGAAAAGGTGGCTCAACTCCCCTCACTGAGGCAGCCCTTGCTAAGGTTCAGGACACAGACACTTCCCTAAAGAGCATTAGGGAAGCAGAGCGTAGCAATACCCCTCTGAAGGATAATTAAACCGACCTAAGTCCCCATAGGGACAGCGCTAGGTCGGTGACAGAACTGTTCCATGAACCCAGCTATCGCTTCTCCGGGAGGGGATTACTGACGCCAATGGGAGACCCCCTCCTGTCGGCGTAGGCAAGGTCTACACTCCACTGGAATTTGACCCACATGTTTCTAACCAAAACAGTGCCAAGCTGGGGAACAATAAAGTTGAAAGCTTGGATTCAAACCCCAAAGTCAAATAACTCCAAGGCCTTCGAAGTACAATAGTTCTCTTATGTTTTGCAGATGCACGATCATTTTGTACCACCTGCCCGAACAAACAGCTGCTCATAGAGTGATGGTGGAGGCCTGTCAAGCAGACGCCTGAACAGCTGCAGAACTGTTTTCACTGGGGCACAAACAGGAAGGATTCACTGCAACAATTTACCTTAAAGTGCCTTGGCTATAATGGGGACATGACATGAAGCATGGTTTTAATGGTAACCGTAATACCTAGCTCTTTTCAGCAGTACATCTCCAAGCACTATTCAGAGGAGGTCAGTAGCATTATCCCCATTTTACAGATGGGGAAACTGAGGCACGGAGCAGCAAAGTGATTTGCCCAAGGTCACCCAGCAGGCCAGTAGCAGAGCCAGGAATAGAACCAAGGTCTCCTGTGTCCTAGTCCAGTGCTCCATCCACTAGGCCACACTGCTATGCTGTAAGTACACTGAAGCTGGGGGAGGTTTGACTCACTCAAGCTAGCCACCTGAGCTCAAACCCCGGGGGCT